GACGTGAAGTCACAATGGGAAGTGTTCAGAGTCAAGTCAGCTCGGATGTGGAAGAGTTCAGAGTGTCAGAATCGGTTAGAGGAAAGAGAATGCGGCGGCTAATGCGCTGCTTGTAATGCGCCTAATGCGCACTCCGCTGCTCTGCAGCAGAGTCGATCAAAGGACCGCCCCGGGGCCCGGGCTACTCTGTATAGTGATAAGTTATACGGTTCCTCCTACCACCGATCTTGAGCGTCTGGACCAGTCCCGCTGCTGCGTGACCCGCTTCTGACCCGTCGCCCCTCCCTCGTACCTTTCCCCTCTGACCCGTCGCCCCTACCCGCTGTACCGTTCCCCAGACTGACCCGTCGCCCCTACCCGCTGTACCGTTTCCCGCTGACCGTCCCACCCTGTGACCGCGGCAGGCGATGGCCGGTAAGGCTCGGCGCAGTATCGCGCGCCAGGACTTTGCGCCCGTGCTGAACCTGTTCCCGCTGGTGTCGCACCTGATGGCGATGCGCGGGGAGTTTGAGCGCTCGCTGCAGGGCTGCGACCCGTCCGTGCGCAACCGGATCTCGGGCATCATTGACGTACTCCACCAAACGGTCGGTGGTGGGAGGGGTGGGGGTGTGTGGGGGAGGGGGCGTGGTCAGTGGTGGGAGGGATGCAGGGGAGGGGGCAGGGACCGGGCATGGGCCGCGCCGGTGGGGTGGAGGCCGCAGGACCTGGATATGACGTGAATGGGTAGGTAGTTTTGTATTGAATTCTGTATCTATCATACTATGGCCGTATTTTGACCTAATAAGTCCACTGTGCCAGAATTCTCCGCTAACAGTGCAGAGCCGTATGTGTGACTGACGTATCTTTGCCTGCCCTCGTTCGGCAGTGCGTCAAGTCTCTGGACGACTTTATGGAGTGGGTGCTGAACGACCCGGACCGACAGCTGCCGCGGGACGGCACCGTCCACCAGCGCACCTCCAACGTCATCATGTTCTGCGACCAGCTGGTCAGTCCTGTGGACGGAGGGTGTCGCCGCGTCACCATGGGCTGGGGCTGAGACCACCGTTACGAGGGAGAGATAAGATAGATTACGCTTAGTGCCATGTGATATGCTGATGTCGTTTCATGTGTATTGCTTTATTGTGGTCTTTTGTGTCAGTTGTACTCAATATTATTTAGTTTTCGCCATGTCTGTCCCTGCCCAGATCTGACCTGTCCTCTCGCCTCGCGGTGACCTCAGGTCGAGTACACGGACACGGTCGACTGGATGTTGTCTCTGACCTGACCTGACCCCTCCGCGTGATGACCTTAGGTCGAGTACACGGACACGGTCGGCTGGATGCTCTGCCAGCACTCCAACTACGACATCGTCACCACGTCCAAGGTGGACAAGAACAAGGCGCTGCTCGGCGTCTACATCAAGAAGGTGCTGAACGCACTGGGCCAGTCGCTGCTCGCCACCTCCGAACAGTACAGGTGAGCTGGAGCGACGAGGGTATATTACCAATATAACGCCTAGTTTTGGGGCGACTAACGGAGCGAGCGAGAGGATGGGCCTTGCACGTGCGAAATTGCGAGGGGGTACCTCCAACTGACTTGTGCACGGCACCCTACTAACCGGTATCTACCGATGTGCCAAATTTGGGCACAATCGGCCCAGCTGTTCTCGAGATCTGGAAGCGGCACCCTGCACGTGCGCACGTGCAAAATGGGTCCCAACTGACTTGTGCACGGCACCCTACTAACCGGTCCCCAACTGTGTACCAAATTTGAGCGCAATCGGTCGAGCCGTTCTCGAGATCTGGAAACGACCCCTGCACGTGCGCACGTGCAGCAGCAACCCAACTCTGGCACATGGATATGCAGTGCCTAGTGGGTGCCTAGGCCTACCTACATGCCAAATTTCAGCGCAATCGGCCAAGTAGTTACCGAGATATTGCAAAAAATACAAAGCTGACACCACTTCGTTTTGCACGTGGCACGTGCATAAGGGGTCACCCACATGCATCAGGAATAGTCCAATACTTGGTAGAAGAATGAAGCTACCCTACAAAAATTACCGCGTGTAAATCGGTCAAGTGGTTTCTGAGATATAAGCCTCGCAAAAGCGTCCGCACGGCCGGCCGGCCGGCCGGCCGCTCATACTCAGAAATTTCCGTTAATCTAAGGAAAGACTCCGCTCGCTTCGCTCGCTCTGTAACCGCCTTCTAACAGTACAGATGCGGAGCGGGGAGAGTATTTAGGGCAAATTAATACCTTCGTTCTATACTGCGACTTATGCTAATGCGCTTCGCCAACAATGGTAAACCGTATTTGAGCTCGATGCCGATAAGGTAGATCTCGTTAGTGGACCGGATTACGCCACCATTGTTTAAGTGTTATGCTGCGTGATAATGTATCATTATCCTGGATTACGCATCATCATCCTGGCCCAATGCGGTTTCCAGTGAGTGTTGTAATCATATTGTGACGTCGAGTCCGATGTGTGTACCCCTGCCAGCGACCCGTACCTGCGCTCCGTGTTTCGGCTCAACAACTACCACTACGTGCTCAAGTGCACGCAGCACTCTGGTCTGCTGGACCTGGTGTCACTCTCCGAGCCGACTGCCGAGGCCACCTACAACAGCCTCATCATGGAGCAGAAGCGGCTCTACTCGCAGAGGTGAGCGTCGGTAGATCGGACACGTGCGCCTGCTGTTTTCATGGTAGCCAGTGGTTGGAGAAGTCGCTTTTTGTTATCCAGTGGTTGAACTATCCAGCAAAAGGTGATCGCCGGCTAATCAAGCATTTTGCAACTTCTTTGACGATTTTCGACTTCCGTTCGTGATACGCTCATGCCCTTTCATCTGGTATCTGATGTGTTGTTGGTCACTATCGGCTGACGCTCCCCTGGCCGTGTGTGACCTGTGTTTGTCCTGTGTGTGACCTGTGTATGACCTACGTATGACCTTTGTGTGACCTCTGCTGGCAGCTGGAGTCGCGTGCTGCAGGCCATGACGTTCGCAGAGGACATCCCCTCCTTCCGTCTGGACATCGACAAACTCTCCGACAAGGAGAAACAGACCATCAAGGAAAAGTTTGCAGTGAGTATCAGTCGACTGATACAGATAATATGGGTGGTACACGGCAGTTATGTCTGCTCCTGCCGGTATTGACCGATACTTTTGTTTTGACGGCAACAATATTGTTGCTATTGCCTATTCATAGAAATGTAAAACGCCTATCAGTCCTTGATAATGTATTTAATACCGAAACTGGCCCGGTCTGAATCGTCTGACGGGTGGCTCCGCTGCTCCCCAGACGTTCAACCGTGAGATGGAGGAGCTGTGTAAGGTTCAGCGCGAGTATTCTCTGCCTGACGTGCAGCTTAGGGAGTCGCTCAAACGCGACAACAAGGAGTTTGTGCTGCCCAAGTACACCAGCTTCTACGACAAGTGAGTGGGCCGACGGGTCGGGGGAATGCTGTGAGAGGAGGCTGGCGAGCGAGTCACTGACGGGACTTTGATGGTTTCTCGGTGTCTGTGTGCCTAATGGAGACAACTGTGTTGCCTGTGACGCCTTATGCGTGTGGGGTTGGTGCGCAAAGCCTTGACCCATGTGCCCTGTTGGTGACCATCTGTCAGCCTGTGATCAGCAGTGTGCTCTGCAATTGTATGTACGTGGTGTGCTGTTTTTTTTTTGTACCTAGCCAGTGGAACATGCCTGCTTTGATAGGCATCTGTCTGGTGCTCCGTTGGGCGGGTACGGGTGCTGACGTGTTGTCTGTTGGGCGGGTACGGGCACTGACGTGTTGTCTGTTCGGCAGGTACGGCAGCGTGACGTTCTCCAAGAACAAGGACAAGTACGTCAAGTACACGCCGGCCCAAATATCGGCCATGATCGACAGCTTTTTCGACACGGCGGCGTAGCCGGTCGGTCTCGGCGCGAGGCCCGATGTCAAGGGGTGGGATGTGTTACGGGTTACCTACTGATTGGACCGGCTCGTGACGGCACACTGAGTGACTGCTGTGATGATGGTCCGTGATAGAGCTCTGTGGACGGTACTGCGAAAATGAAGACATGCCTTCACCCATTCGTGGCATCTCGGAGAATTTACGGATTTCATGCTATTATGGTTCCCGGCTGTGGAAATGCCACGGCTGGATTATTACTTCTCTAGTAATCGCTCTTCCCTATTGCCACACTGGATAAGTTACTTCGATTGACATGTTATGCTCTCAGTTTTGGAGAAACTATTTTTATAGACTTGGTGAGCACCAATTAACTGCATAATTATGTTACCTTGTTACATATACATTCTTCCTGTATTGCGAGAGAATGCTGTGTTGTATCATGTTGACGGGTTATGCGCATATAGTGATGTGTATGAAACTAGTATTGTCCACTGTTTTCTTTGGATATCACGCTATAATTTATTGCTTATGCTGCTGTAGCCTTATTGAATACAATATTATCGTGTGGACTAAGTGTGCTATCATGCTGCTTTAATACAGGTGTCGTGATCTTTTTCAGATACTTAAGCATTTTAAACATAATTTGACGTCATTTGCCAGAGCTAACCATAGGCGGCGGAACGGGTAGGGCACCGGAGCACCGTGCCCCCCCCCCTTTGATCTGGGAGTTTTAACATTAGCCCTATGGGCGTTGCATGGAAAGAGTGGGACCAAAAGTCGGCAGTGCCCCCCCCCCCCCCTTAGTGAAGGTGTCTCGACACTACTGGAGCTAATTGACCTCAAATGCGGAATTTATGCATCAGCTTGCATTGATATCATTTGAAGGTACCTATATTATATAGTTTGTGGGTACCTATCCATTGCCATGACCAAACCAGAAGTTTTTATCGTTGAAGTGCCCTCCCGATCCAGCATCGGGCACTATCGGGTATTCTGAGGCACTTTATTTTAGTAGCCGAAACTGCGCAGCTGCTTGTCTTTGTTGCGCCATATCAGCGAACAAAATATTCCCCTCCCCCTTCAACGCAATCTCTCGCGATTCGCAAATTAGCGCTGTCAGGTGCTGTGTCCGGCGTGTACCGTGCTTTTGGATTCGTCTGGTACTACCAAATCTTTTCATTTTATGTTTGTCATTTTACTTTAAAAGGCAAGTACCAGTACCTAGTCCTACCTTGACCCCCTTGACCTATCATTGCTATGCAACATGAAAAGTGCATTTTATTGATTTGGGAATCCATCACCATCTTCACAGTTTTTTGCTATTTCAGCAGATTTAGTTTGAGATTGTTTTACCTCAAAATAAAATTGATTCGCATTTGAGGTTTAATATGATGAACTCGAATTAAAGTGATGAATTGAAATATTTTGCAGTGCCCACTTCTCTTGGTTGCTAAAGGTTCAATCATTTTAAGGTTGATGCTGAGAGTGCTGTTGGCCCATTTTTTTATCAGCATGCTCCATGTTTTTCCATATAAGAAAGGTACCTAATTGCTGGCCTTTCTTGGCCTCTCATTGGTCAGCGACACATCCAATTGAATTTGACCAATGAGAAGCCAAGAAATAACAACAGGCTTGCAACCTGCTGGCTGCTGATAAATCAGTAGGTGGAACTATGGTCATGAGTACCCAAATATAGGAACGTTCCCATTTTTGGGAACGGAGTTCCCAAATATGGGAACGGGCATTCCCATTTATGAGAACGGAAGGCAATTTTTCGGCCGTTCGTCCACGAAAACTCAAAAGTGCACCACGTCTCAAAAAAGTGCACGCTAATTTAAGTATCTACTAAGTCTCTATAAAATTATCTTTAATCTGACCGTTGAACAAGGAAATTGACCGTCGAATGATATTTTTAATGATTTTTTGAAATGACGGAATGGTGAAAACATGGGTTATACTACATTTAACATGCAATTTTAAGGAAAATGAAGCGTTTTTACATTTTGAGGTCAAGTATAATAATTTTCGCCTGGTTATGAAGTTTCATACTAGCGACACCAGATGCTGACATATGCAAGCGAACACGCGGACAGTCCCGAGGTAATATTGTTGACTTTTGGTGTCGGGGCGCAGGACCGCGTGGAACGTCAGTGATTTTACCGAACTCAGTGTGGCCAAATTGGTTTAGCGTTAGGGGGAGGATGCATAAAAAAGTCGTATGAGGATGTCACTATTTTCAAAAAACTCGTCTTCAGCCTCAATTTAGGTGCTGTTTTTACAAGTAATGTGGAAAAAACTATACCTGACGTCAAGCTTTGGTGGAAAGTAAAAAAAAAAACTCGAAATATTGTCAATAAAGATGTAAAAAACAACATTGCACGCGCGACAGCACGAGTATGACGGTGCGAATCGTACATTGGTACATTTTTAATCTGTATTCCTACACTAGGTATGCTTTCACAACAAAAACGTCGTGATGATGCAATTTTAAAATTTCTGAGGATGTCATTATACTTTTCATTGGGGTTGACTTTCCCCGCGACATCACCAATTTTGCCACACTGACCGAACTACTGTTGTAAACTCAGTGTCCGTGGTTTAAAATTATTCAGCTGTATTTTATCAGCCCGGAAAGACATATTTTATTTGGATGCTAGCTGTTTAGCGTTGTTTTATAAGGAGCGTCATGAGCGTGGTTTTTGTCTTCCGTGTTTCTAAGCATGATCATTTTGGGGGAATTTCTCTTATATAGGTCGCTCTGTGTGGCTTATTTATAATTTTTATGCTGATTTCGATCATTCCTCGTGCCCATCCTACCAGGCCTTTTGCCACTTACACTCATTATGAAAGGAAAAAATTAGATTTTCATTGGGACTAGGTGTTTTGAGGGTGTAACATATTCAGCGTTCCCATTTTTGGATACTGCCTTGTGCTCGTCAACTATCGGTGATAAACAGACAGGTGCTTGACATGTCTCCACCCTCGGCGCGGACGGTGGATATAGGTATGGAAGACCTTGTTGAACATCGCTGAGCGTTGTGAATTACGTAATCCTGCAGAGGGGGGCGTGCCCGCTGCGAGATCGACGGGAATAAAAGCGCAGAAGACCGGGCGAAACATGCGACGGTCTTGCCGGAAAGGTCATCTGATGATTGTTGTGGTAACAATGATTTGCGGCGTTGGACGTGATGCTTGTTAAAGGGACCCTCCCACCTTCAAAAAAGTTAATGAATTGCCATGAAAGTGATGTCGCTCGGTTCAGAAAGAGCGAAAACGAATATCTACCAAATTTCATCGAACAATATTCACCAGTTTTCAAGATATTAGACTTTTACTTTTGTTTACTTTTTGGGATCTCCGCTGTTCCTAGCGACTTTATTTGAAAGTGCGGCACTTGTTGCGCGCAAAGCAGCATATACCACCGCGTGCTACCAAACGCTTTAGTGAAAGATTTAAAATCGTTAGATCTGCGCTGACGTCACAAATTCTAAGGGGGCATACCAAAGCATTAGCCCCTTAGAATCCGAAAACTGCAAGTTTGAAATTCCATATCTCCGAATTAAAACATTTTTCGATGTTGTGAGTGCCCAAACCGGTATTTTCAGGCCATGGCCACCAATTTGGCTATCTCAACTCAAAACTAATGTTAAGGTGGGATGGTCCCTTTAATGAAAAGAGCCCCTGAAAGGCGTCGGTGAAATCGTTCCCAATATTGGGTACGCCGTTCCCATAATAAGGAACGCTTGCAGCGCCAGTGTACGAGAGCGTTCCCAAATTTGGGCTCGCGGCCCGGATGATGGACTGCTTTAGAAATAGGGGAACGATTTGAAAATACGATGGGCCTGACAATATTTAACTCTTTCCCTACAATATTGAGACAAATATCAGGCGGTTCACGATCGTTTTATATTTTTTGGACGTCATTTAACGGTTCTTTTTCTTGTTTTAAATATTGCCTACATGGCGTTCCCATGTTTGGGTTTATCGTTCCCAAACATGGGAACGAAAATGCGTTCCCGAAAATGGGTACGCTTGACCATAGTTCCGCCTACTGAAATGGTGGCTGGAGAGAGCCCCAACAATGTATTAACCTGGCATGTATTCAACAGAAAGCTGTTGGTGACACCTGCCCCACCATTTCCCTGATTTTTAAATAATGGCTCAAAGAATCAGTCCCAGGTATGGATCCAATATAATTTTGAAAAGACAGATACAGGTACTGATACAGATATGGAACCACATAGCATGCTGCATGGAGACTTGGTTTCCTTGCCCTGATTCCCTTTTTAAGTGCTAAATTTTCCTAGTAATATATGAATTATGCATGCTATTATAAGAAGCAATATAGATTACACTTAAGGTACCTAGTGGCTATTTGTGGGAGATACATTTTTTTAGCAATATTTTTTTTTTTTGCTTTTGTGAAAAAAGTTTCCAGTTACGTGTTCAGGGTTTCCTATGTTTAGCCCAAATAGTTGAAACAGGCACTGACTTATCCCACTGTTTGCAGATGGGTGAGATTGATGGCGAGGAGTCCGCTGCTGTGGATGTGGTGCCTCAGGCTGAAGATCCCAGGCCTCCCACTGGTGAGTCACACATGCCAGCTGCTGCTGACTGACGTTGGAAGTGACTGAATTATGACAGCCTTAAAAAGATCTGGGGATTGTTTTGGATGTAGATAATGCTCTATGTGCATTTAGGAGTCATTACACCTTTCAATGTTTATAGTTCATAAGATATCCTTGAAGACTTTGGCAATTATCTGGTTAAATGTATCCCCTTCACTAGAGTGCAAACTGAACAAAATTAGGTGGATGCAGTGTGCACACACACTACAGTGCTTGTCTTTCTGTAGCTCTGTATACCTCATGTTGTGACACTCATCATTGTAAGTTCAAAGACAATAATAGTCTGTGGCCTGGACAGTTGTCATCTCAGTGTGTTCAGATGACCAGGTGCTTTGTTTGGGGCTAGCATCTGAATGGTTGGCACACATGACAAGTCCTGCATTCAGACGTGCCGTTTTTCGCGTGGAATTTCCACGCTGAGGAATTCCTCACGAAAACAGCTTCGCCCGCGAAGCGTCTCGAAACGCGAGGAATCCTGCGGGATCCCGCGAAACGGGTATACCCGAACGGCCGTTTTTGTGAGGGATTCCTCGGCGTGGAAATTGCACGTCCGATCGCACGGTTGGTTATAATAGGTTGAATCTACACCGACAGCACACAGAGAGCCGCTCTGTGACCTGTGTGCGGTCTGTGGCTGATTTCAGTGACGTCTCACGCCTCCTAACTAGTCCCATGGCGAGCACCAAAGGTAACGCGGCCGGCGCGGCCAGCGAGGGCCGCCGGCCGTCGGACGGTTTCCACTCTCTGCTCGGTATTACCGCTCTCACACACACCCCGTAGTGCCTGGTCTGGTGGCCTCGGTCACGGCTGCCGCGTCGCTGCTTGCCCTCCTGCAGTCTGCCGTGGGTCGGCCTGCTCCGGCCCGGCCGTCCCCCTGGCCCGGCCCTTGCCCTGTGCTTGGAGCTCTACGCGTCAGGTGCGCCTGTGGCGCTGTGGCTGTGACCTAGCCTGTTTTATTGTTCCGTTGGCATGATTTTGGTCTCAAAAGTTTTTAATTGGTAGCGTAATATGATGGCAATGTGGCTGAAGTAGATCCGATGCTAGTCATTAACAGTTTGTTTTTGCGCACGGTTTGCAATATTCACAAGATTAGTTTCCGTCGTTTCATTTCATCGCAACAAGACCTTCGTGATTCTTACGTGGCGGTTTGATGCATGCCTTCTATTGCCTGCTTGTGGTATAGTGTTTAAAGTGTTTGATAATTTCTTGTCCATGCATAGACGATTGTTTTCACATTGTGGGCTGAACTGTACCTAGAGTCCATTTTTTTTTTTGTAACGTAGTTGAAATGCAAATTGATCAATACAAAGCTCCAATGGTTCTGCATAATGTGCATAGTGCTCTTTGACACAAATCGGGAATTAACCTACCTACAGCATTCAAAGATAGCCGCGGCCTGCGCATTGTCACCGTGATTGCATAGTGAGCGGGTTTAGATCGTCTGCCTAGCCGCCACTCCCTTGGGGCTAATCACACCAGATGCATCCGCATCGTCAAACTAGGCCTGCTGTCACACAACAGCACCAATGTCCCGCCTCGACCGGCCCCCACTTTTCTCCCTCTCATTAATCATTAATGGGATTAGCGTGTTTAGCGCCGGACTGAGCGCCGCTTGTTGACTGATGCAGCGCTGCTTGATGACTGATTATTGGGCTGCCGACCGAGGACTGATGACTGAATGGCCGACCGAGAACTGAGTTGAACGGACGACTGGGGACTTAGCTGACGACTCTGCGGAGTGAACGGACAAGTTGAAAACTGAGGTCGATTGGTGGACTGTGGGGCCAACTAAAGACCAAGCGGCCGTGGGCGTTTGATATCTTTGTCAGGCGATAACTTCTCAGCACAGTGTCTATCAGAGGGCTAGTTGACGTGACATCTCAGCGATTTCATCTCGGCGAAAGATACGGCGCCGTGGAGAGCAGCTCTGACTCATTATTTACACGGTGACTGCGATAATGAACCAACGCGCGAGTAAATATCACTATCGTAGTATGCTTTATATATAATCGCCACAACTCGTAAATTGCTACGCATGCCAGACAGCGTGTTTTGGAACTTTGACTTGCCTCTGTGCTCAGTCGAGGTAATTTGATAAGGATGCGTTTGTCTTTCTCTTGTCGTTTCATTGTAGCCTGGTTTGTTCACACATTTTAACTTTCGTCCTTTGGTCGACCTCGAATAGGATTCGGGACACAATCTGAAACATTGCCGGGGCTGCGACTGTGCCCCTGTAATCCCCGGTGGCTGCGTGTCGGTGTCAGGTGACCGGCCCGCCCGCGCGTGACTCCCGTGACGCAGTGGCCGGAGAGGTTTGTCCGGTGACGCAGTGACGCACCAACCGACAGCTGCGCCGATTCAGCACAAATGACGTGGTGTGTTTTGTAATGTGTATCTATCTATACGCGACGTTATATGACGAATATGCGCACGTTTGGTGATGCTTTTTGGTCGTGGTTTTCGGTTGTGACGTGTCTTTACGGTGTACAATCAGTCTTGGAAGAAGGTACCGTGCATCGTGCGGTGGATCCATCAACCGCGACCGAGGAAGGATTGCTAAATTTGAGTCACTGAACCTACTGACATGAGACATCCTCATACATCCCCAGGTCAATTGGTTCAGTGACTGTCAAACTTAGCAGCTCTTCCTCGGTCAGGCTTGATGGATCCACCGCACCGATGCGCGGTACTTTCAAGACAGACTGCACAGTGCTACTTATACCGTCTGTCGGATGTTACCGTCCTGGGACACGGGGCAGGACACGGTGTCCCATGTCCGCGCTCGGTAACTGTTAATCTCCTAATTAGATGCACCTTCCTCAGTTCTGTGTCCATTCCGTGATTACCCTCCGTGCACCGTTTGATGAGTCAGGATGCCGACCTTACCCACTGTTCTGGCGTGTCCCGAGCTCGCCAACGAACTAGTTTTGTTGTCTACTGAGTGCCATTTTGCCTGCCGTCTAGCATCGTGTGACTAACCGGCTCCGTCGTTCTGTCCCGTTCAGTAATTTCGGTTCACCAATTTACATTCCCCCTTACACCACATGTCGCGTCCCGTAGCTACTACAGGGTGTCTCAAAAGTTCGTTGACAGGTACCAGCCATGCTTTTTTTGTCAATTATTCTGAATCAACAATAAATTAACAGTCGAAATTTTGCATGGACATTGGTAACAACCTTCCTCAAGCAGTCTCATTGTTTTCAAACGCATTCGACCCTTCATGAGCCCACAAAAAGGGTTAATCTCTGACCATGAGTCAAGCATGAAAGTGGAGGTCGCAAAATCGGGTCGGCTGAGAAACTCTCTGTTTCAGGAGTAATGGGAATGGCTAAGTCGGAAATGACACATGGCAAAGTGTCGGCGAGGATGAGTACAACATGATGATCATCTAATAAAAACGGTGGCTAAAATTTTTGAAGGACAAAACCATGCGAGACTAACAGAGTTTTGAACGACCCTCGTACGGCAGCAGACTCGTGCTCCGGAAAGCAGCTGAAAATGAAGGCATAACTATTGAAAACTGACAAGAAGCTCACAGACAGAGGTTACCCAGTTTAAGAAATTGCAGGTCATCGTAAAATAAAGACAAAGTATGATTTGAAATTGTTTATAATATCTATACCTAACGCTAAATTTTTGGGGAAAATAACACGAAATTCATCAATACCAAGGACAACTGACCCTCCAAAAGTGTCAATTAATGTAAAGTTTTATCTTACGAAGTTTCAAGAGGCAGATCTGGAGCGAATAGCTTTCTTTTAGACACAAAATCCCGACAAAACCACACGATGGACAGGTTTTGGCCGTTTACAAAGCAGAACCTCTCCTGAGGAAAACACTCCGCAACCCAGCGAAGGTCTTGGCATGGGGAATGACGAGCGTTTGGGGTTTGCAAAATTTGCACAATGTGTCTAAGAAACAGATGGCCGACACATTCTTCTACGATATGCTGCGAAACATTTTCCCCTGGCACTTCCCATTTGTTCAGGAATGGGGTTGTTTTGAAAAGGAAAATGGTGTTTGGGAGGTCGGCGCCAGTCATTCATGAAGGAGTTAGCGCCAGAGAAGACCTACAAAATACTCACGAATGGTGTCGATGCAAGCTGTCGGCTTTCAGGGAGAAGCGGATGTTGCCGGGGAGCTCGTCAAACCTAAATCCGACGCAGAAACTGCAGGGGATTCCCTTACAAGAGCTTGAAAGCTGGTAACCTTTTATCAGCCTCCGGCAGCTGACGGAGCGACGAAAATCGGTATGGGCAAATATTTTTGGAGATACAGCAAAGGGTTTGATTTCCAACCTCCCGAATCAGTTGTCAAAGCATGCATATTTGTCTAGTGTGCACACAGACACCAAAACCTTAGATTTTTGGCCGGTTCTTATATGCTTTATAGGCATGGGAAATGTGTCAACGAACTTTTGAGACACCCTGTAGCTAACTTTCCTTCAGTTGTGCCGCGTCCTGTGCTAACCTGTGTCGGCTGAGGTGCCGCTGCCAATGCCTACTGACTAACCTGTGCCGGGAGCCGGCTGAGGTACCGGTTGGACGCCTTACTAACCCGTGTCCCGTGGGCCGCTATGTCCCCCAACTAACCTGTGTCCCGTGGGCCGCCATGCTCCCTATCTAACCCGTGTGCCGTGGCCGCCATGCTCCCTAACTAACCCGCGTCCTGTGGGCCGCTATGCCTCCTGACTAACCCGCGTCCCGTGAGCCGCCACGCTCCCCAACTAACCCGTGTGCCGTGGCCGCTATGCTCCCTAACTAACCCGTGTCCCGTGGGCCGCCATGCTCCCTAACTAACCCGTGTGCCGTGGGCCGCTATGCCCCCTGACTAACCCGTGCGCCTGGGGTGCCGCTATGCTGTGTCCAGCGGAGCTGCTGCGCGTCGGCCGTCGCCTACAGCGGCGCTCGGTCAGTCAGAGCAGCACCGACTCCACCTGCCACCCGGCGCACCCAGGTCAGAACGAGGAGCGGGTACCTACCTGTGGCTGTGGCCTGTGACCCAGGTCGGAATGTGCGCGCATGACTGTGACTCAGGGGTATGGCCGGAGACCAGGGCTGCGCGACACTCGGGCCACGCCGACCACGGAGCGCCGCCTGCGATGGCCGCATGCTTGGCTGTCGCCAGTAGCTAGCTGCTTGATCGCGCCGCTCTGCTTGTAACGTCTTGACGCTTTTTATCTTTGTCAGCTGGCTTCTAAGTTCTCAAGTGCTGCTCTATGCTACGGCCTGCTGCTAAATAAAAACTCCATTCTTTCATTGTTACGCTGTCTGTGTCGTGTTCGCTGTGCTTTGTTCAATTGACCTTTCTGTGCTTTCTTTGAGTCTCATATTATATGTGTCTGTTATCATGCTTGTACGTCCTTGTCCCGCTCGCGTGATCTGCAAATCTGTATCCGATTTTATGGCGTTGAAAGTACTTTTTCGTACCCAAAGTGCAAAAAAGTACTTCGAAACATATGTCGAACCTTTTGCTAAGCTATCTTATTTCCTACGAAATTGAGCGTTTTTAATTGTTTCATTCGAGGTTGCTGATTGCATGCCACTGCTATGGCTGATTATATGACGGCAGCGGTCGGTGGTGCGCTGTTGCGGCGGCGTCGCTGACTTAACCACGGTCTCGGCTGGTATTCCCCTTCATGGCATCCGCTGGTCGGTCTGCTGTCCCCTAGTCGGTCTCACTTCCCCAAGTCAGTTTTTAACCCATTGGTCCTGGTCCCTTTCCCGTCAACGGCCGGGTTCGCCTTCAACCCTGGACCCCAGTCTTCCTCCCGAATATCGACTGAATTCGAGTCGAAGCGTTCTCTCCTTCCCACACAAAGTCAAGGTTTTCGTCGAGACCCGCTTTGGTTTCATTCACCCACTGGTGGTCTATCGGTGGGGCTATTGTGTTTGCAAATGACCCCGCTCCAGCCGAGCGTCGCTCGGAAGTCCGTGTCCCGTGACCGGTGTGCGTCGGTATGCGTGTGTGTGTGTGCCGGCGCGGCCGTGTGATGTGTGCCGGTCGGTGAACAGTCCCGCACCTATTGCGTAAGGTGAACAGTGTGCACTGCTCTCATTGGCCGGGCTTTCCGTGCCCTATCGCTCTGCCGTCGGAGCAGTGACGTTTCATCCCCACTGCCACAATGTCCCAAAATTTGTAGATGTGGGTGGGAAACGACATCCAAATGCAAATCATTTTCCACTCTCACCTCCAGTTTTCAAGCCCAATTTTTCACTCCCAATTCCACTGAGAAGGAGCAATTGCGGGAATGGTTGTTTTACATGTGCTTTGACACAGTTGCGAAATAGGTACCTTCATACGTATATCACAGTGTCCCAAAATTTGCCAGTTTGGGTGGGAAATGACATCCAAATGAAAATGGTTTTCCACTCTCAACTCCAATTTTCCAGAGCAATTTTTTCACTCCCAATTTTACCAGTAACGAACATCTGCATGTACTGCGTACCTTTGGTAGTTGGCTTTTAACTTCCTCCATATTTTCTTCAATCATCTAGTAAAACAACTCCCAGATCCCACATCCTGTAACACTCACATACAAATTGATGATCCCTGTTTTTCACCCTTTGTCATGAAGCTCGCAATTTTCCACTCAGCCCGCTTTACTGTGAGGAATATCCCTCTCCGACACCCAAGCCAAAATATAATTTTGGGACACTGCACTGCCATCGCAGCAGCGGTGACCCTCGGTCCGCTTAGATGAAAAGGGCGACAAAACGAAAAGCAAACACATACAAGTGTTGCAGGAGCAGAGGTAGTCAGTGCTAAAGTGCTCTGAAGTTTTACCCACGCCCTCTTCTTATCCAGACATCCCGTTAATCACGGGCGCCAACATAGCGAGTGCGTGAATGCATAAATCATTGCTCTTCCTCTGGTTATTATCAGCCAGGTTGGAAATTGGCCCATATTTTTCTAGATTAACCCATTGCCGCCCATGGTGTCAAAAATGGTCGCTGCGCTTGGAGGGCTGCCCTGCCCACGTAGTCCATCTGACGGCTTTTCCATACCGTTTGGGCAAGTTAAGTAGGTATGTCGATTGTCGGCTGCCCGGTGCCCATCGTTCCCACGACTCGTTCTCTCCTAAACCGAATGCAAACTTTTTTCTTCTCCGTTCTAGTTCTAGTCTATTTTCGTTGGTTCATAGAACTCCTCAAAGTCTAGGGCTGGTAAGAATGAATTTAATCACTAATTCACCTTGTTCGCACAACTGTAGCAGTGTTAACCAGTACAAACTACAATACCTTTTCTGGCCGCCAAGAGATATTTAAGGGTCAAAGTACACACGTGTAATTCAGTGACGTATCTCTTGTATGAAAGGGTCTATTGCAAACACATTACCAAGTGGAGTTCAGGGTTCAGTGGCAGGAGTGACTGCCTGATATCAGCTGAATAGTCAACTCTAGTGGCATCCGACCAGCCGAACTGTATCGCCCAGATAGACCGGTATTCCTTATGTACAGTGTATATGCAGCTGCCGCCTTCCCTATCAATTGGCGGGCTATTGTTGGTTAATTTGGGGCAGGCATCTTTGGGATACCGTTCGCAGACAGATTTTGATCTTTAATGTTGTTGAGCGCTTGTGCGAGGAACATTAGTAAAAGCAGTTTTAGTATCATATGACCTTTCCTCGTTGTTGTTGGCACTGCTTGTTCGACAGTACGCAACACGTGCGGCCACAACAGGACGCGGGCACTTGACAGAACTGTGTCACATCGAGCACACCATTGTGCAATAGAGATACGTGCGTATATGACTGATCAGCCACCACTGACCGGTAAGGCGCCGCCCGTGGTCGAGCCGGGTAGACATAGCATTAAGGGCCCTCTGCAATGTCGCCAATTATTTATTTATTCTTCTTTTTTTGCGACTTATGACTGACATCCCTCCCCCGGGTGATAGCCGGTATATCGAACAGGGCACCAGCGAGCCAGCCTGCCAGTGAGCAGCAGTACATGGCCTGCTAGCCACCTGAGAGCTACACTAAATGTTCAGGGCTACTACGCCGGGCGTTTCCATGTGATGCACATAAACTGAGGGTTTCTGCGTGTGTGTCTATAGGCGTATGCTTCTAGTACTCTCTGATGTCTCATTCATCCATGCATGTTTTATGTTCCAATGCCCCGTGCTTCTGTCGGGTGTTCTGTTACCAGGACCTCCGTCCCCCTCTCCACCAGTATTTGTGTGCATGAATGCTGGCCGAGCATCCATCGGACAAATGACACACTGACACTGACACCGACACTGACACTGACACGGGCACTGACAATGGCAGTGACACCGATACCGACACTGACACACTGGCGATAATAGACACTGCCACAGACCTTCACTGACACCGTCACTGCCACAGACCTTCACTGACACTGACACTGACACTGACACTGACACCGTCACCGTCTGCCTGCAGGAGCCGACCAGGCGGCTAACGACTCGGCCGGCAGCGGGAAGGCGGGCGACCTCTCCACCAGCGCCTCCGGACGACTGGTAGGTGCAATCGGCGTCCTGACTGCGTAGGGAAGGGGGGGGGGGGTAGTTGATGCGTGTCTCCGGACGACTGGGGGTGCCCTCGGTGCCCTGATTGACTGGGGAATGAGGGAACTTGTCACCTGGCACGTACCCTGATTGGCTTTAGAAGGTGTGGGGCCTAGCGCCTGGAAGGAACCCTTTTTTTCCAGGGAAAGGCGCTGTGGTGGGGTGGGGTAGGTGTCTACGGTTTCCTTTCCGTCGGGTCACGGCGGTCTGAATTGGCATTTTGCATGGTGTCGGCGAAGCGGACGGAAGGTTGCGGTAAGGCGCCCGCCGCGCCACCAGTGACCCGGCACCATTAGCGGCGGGTCAGGGCGTTCCGTTCCCGTGGCCGCGGCCAGATGTTCGTTCGGAGATCGATCACTGATGGAGACACACACTGGCTGTGTTGAAAGCACTGCCGGGGCACAGAATGCCCACAGCCCGGGGGCCGGGAGACTGCCCTCGTTGTGGGGTGAGACCACTGACGGGACACAGACTAGCCACAGCTCGGTAACTGCCCTCGGTGTAGGGTGAGGAGACCACTGACCGTTTCCCCACCCGGGTGGTAACCGATACCGGAACCTTTGGTGCCGGTGCACCGGCGGGGCGGCACAGAGGTCACAAATGGTGCCGCTGGCCGGCCGGTTCCCGGTGGGAGGCGATGGCCGGCTCAGTGGGCGGCCCGAGTGGAGTTCGCCGTCACTGCAGTCGGCGGCTAATGCGCGGACTGAGGCCTCAGTTCATTGTCACTGCGGTCGGCGGCTAATGCGCGGGCTGCGGCCTCAGTTCCTCGGACCTCAGTCACTGCAGTCGGCGGCCAGCCGCATGCTGTATTTTTATTTTAACATTTCTTATAATGGTGATGGGTTTCCGGTTTCTTTTTTGCTTTAAGCTCTGAGCTCGGATCGGCTTCAATTAAAGCGTAGTTACTTGAATGAGACTACTTTGTCTGGGAGGTAGGCTGCATCGTCTGTCTTATTTTTCGTCGATTATCTCTACTGACTGATAGCGATGATAACTCTCTGACTAGAACTACTATTCCAAGTAACAAGGCCTCGAAACTACTACTCATCATTTATCTCGGAGGTTTATCAGAGTGGCATACCAGGAAAGACAACATCTGCCTTCTGATGCTCAGGGCCTGAATGGGGTTCAGGCGTATATGCCTACCGGCAGTGCCACTGATTTCGGCCCGTGATTCCGGTGGATTTCGGCCCTGGCTGTCAGTGGGCTGATACGTGGGCCGGGTAGTCGACCCCGGCTGGTGGAACCCGGCCGGTGGACCCCCGGCTGGTGGACCCTGGCTGGTGTACTCCGCCCGGTGGACCCCGGCTGGTGGTGGCGCGCCGCGTGCCCTATCCGCCTTCCACCCCCGTGGACCCGTGTCAGGCGGTGAGTGGACGGACGGGTGACCCTATCGATGTCATGAGAGCCGTCGGCCGGCGGGCTGTCGGTACCCCGCCCGCCGGCAATCGCACCGAGCGCGGCCGGCCGTCGGCGGCGGCGGCTGGGCACGGGGCGGCGGGCGGCAGTCGGCCGGGAGGGCCCGTGGTAGGTGCCCGGCGGCACAGACCCTCCCATGTGTGCCCCGCTCGGCGGCGTGCGGCGGGGCCCGGTCGGGAGACGGTCGATCGTCGCTGCCCGCACCGCTCGCTGAGTCATGCGGACGTAACGTGAGCGGCTAGTGACGGTTGTGACGCCGGCCAGTGATGTGACGTGCGAGTGACGTGACACTACCGCGCCGGAAGGAACCGTGGTTCCGGTTCGAGGTGGCCGGAAGGGAACCAGACGAAACCACGGCTAGTTTGGTGGGAAGTGACCCAGATTGACGGACTGATCTGAGCCGTGGTGGGTTGTGAGTGCGCACACTATGAGTTTGGACAAGATCAAGAGCCGGTCATACGGAGGGTCGTCTCTCTTCACCAAGGTTCGTTTTGCCTTCCATTGTCCTGTATTCTCCAACACAACCCAAGTGTGAATCCTGCCACTGCTTTAGGTCCCTGTATGCGTCTGTTTAGCGGCAGCCTGTCCGACCGCCGCCTGTTTCGTCTCAGCTCAGTAGAATAACAGCGGTTCACGTGACCCGTACTGCTCATCAGCTGACCGGACCGCCAGAAGGCTGCACGTGCTCACCGGACCACTGCGCGGCGCCAGCTTCGTTCTATTGGGCCAATCTCTTCCATCAGCGGCTGGGCCGGCTGGTCTGTGCGTGATACCTCACGAGGACAGGGCTGGGGGGGGGGGGAGGGCGGTACCCCGGCCCACAGCTGTGGCGGGGGGGGGGGGGGGCGCACAGCCGGTGTCACAGACTACACCTGCCCTCAAACGCACTCAGCGCACAGGTTCTCCGGGTGGTCGGGCGATACGCCAGAGGCGAGTTTCACGGTCACGGCTCAGGTCCTCACGGGCCGTAATCAGCCGGCAGATAGACGCTTTGCCGTTTTTGTGTGACCGGCCCCCACTTTTTGCGTGTTTGATAGGATTTGCCCCGGGCGCCCAAGTTTTGTACCAATGTTTTCACAGCTATGGTGTCGGCCCAAACTGAGATATAAACAAGTTCAAGGCGGCTCGTATCCGGCGAAACACAGTGCCAGGACGCGTCTTGAGATAAAATAAGCGCCGGCCGATGTTTGTCCGGAAGGAGTTGTTATTCGATAAATCAAATAAAAGCATCACCACCACCACCGCGGCTCTCGAAATGAAAACACATTAATGTCGGCTACCGTTGGAGATGCGCTGCAGCTGCTTGTCGATGGTCATTAAGGCGCCTGTATTGATATTCCAGCAATCATTATTTATTAGAGCCCAAGCGAGCAAAGGGAATTGTACGATAGGGTACTAGCAAAACCTCAGCCGTTCGTTTCGTGTTTGGGGCATTCCATGTCAACCGGGACAGCCAAAATCGGCCACCTCTGCGATTTTGTTCAAACTTGGTATACTTGTTGGCTATTGGGTGAAACCTCTGAGGGTCAAAGGATTTTGTCATATGCCCTCGGGCTACAGAGATACAAGCCGCTAAACTTCCGCTTTTTTAGCAGAATTGGACGTGTATTGCAATCTTGAAAGATCTATAGCTTCAACATTTTTGAAGCTATTAATTTCAAACAAACGGAAACGTGAACACGAGGAGTTATGCTAGTTAAATTTGGTAATTTTAACATTTTTTGGTGATTTTGAATTTATTTTATTTTGAATTAATTTCTTAAAATCAAATTTGTGAAAAATGGGTACCCTTCGATTTTGATCAAATTTGGACATTATCTTTCACCACACGTAAGGCATACGTGCTGAGAAAATTAGAGTGGGCCAACGATAACTTTGGATGATATAGCAACAAGTAGTGCACCGTAGCACGGGCGATGGAAGGGGCGGATTTCGCCAACCCCACCTGTTTTTCGCCAATAACTCACGCCATAACTATTATATTAACGTCAAACTTTCAGCATCTGTCCAAAATTGAATTGCAAATCCTCCTGTGCAAGCAATAGGTAAATCGGTCCACAACTTTTCTAGTAATAGCGGTGTAAAGTCAAACATCTTGCCGGAGCGGCGCGGCGGCCGGCGTCGGCCGTTGCCGCCTGAATGGTAGACTGTGCCGGCGCCGGACGGTTCCATCTTTGCAATGCGCTTCTTACCGCTGATTATGATCGATTCGTGTCAAATTTTGTGTGAAGGCTTAAAAATGTACAGGCAAACTAATGGTCAAATAAATACGAAAACCAACTGGTAAAAATTGAATTATTAGGGTGCAAACACAATCTGTGACTGAAACGTTTCCCGCGTCGGCCGATCCCCGCGCCTTTGCCGGCGACTTCTTACTCTTAGCAGGCCACTAACTGCCAAATTTATGGTTAGATTATCTAAAGATTCTCATAACACTACAAATGTCGTAAAAAGGAAGAAATAAAAAATCGGCCGGTAACTCTTAGAGCTATGGGCGTATAAACGCAAAATAGTCACCATAGCAAATTTCATCACGATTAACCTCATTTGATCTTGAAGATATTGATCTAGGGCCATGAAATTGGCACACGATAAAGTTCCCCACCTACAATTCAAATTCCGTTTTTTATACCTTTTTTGGCTAAACCGGGCCTTTCTCCCCTAGCGCTGGGATAGTCAGGCGTATTTCCTTTTTGCAACCAAAGGGAGGCGCTGCCCGGAGAATGCCCAATTGCATCATTAAAAAACTGGCTTACATCTCCGCGATGACCAGCTATCTCCGTGGCTTAGTAGTTAGTGTGCCGAGTGTACCCACCTCGTAATCTAAAGGTGGCTGGCTCGTGGCCGGTTAGCCTCAAGTGTTAAAGGGACCCTCCCACCTTCAAAAAAGTTAATGAATTGGCATGAAAGTGATGTCGCTCGGTTCAGAAAGAGCAAAAACGAATATCTACCAAATTTCATCGAAAAATATTCACCGGTTTTCAAGATATTAGACTTTTACTTTTGTTTACTTTTTGGGATCTCCGCTGTTCCTAGCGACTTTATTTGAAAGTGCGGCATTTGTTGCGCGCAAAGCATCATATACCACCGCGTGCTACAAAACGTTTTAGTCAAACATTTAACGGACGTTCGAAAGCCTGATGACGTCATCAGATTCCCGTAATGGTTAAGAGATAGGGACTAAGCTGGTCCCACCCTGCAAGTAAAGGGAAGAAATTTCTTGAACACCATAAAGCTGCGGGGTTTGCGACCAGGATAAATGGTGGTTTCTGAGCCTGGCCGCAAACTTGGCTATCTCAACTCAAAACTAATGTTAAGGTGGGATGGTCCCTTTAAAACACGCATTCGTTTTTTAAGTAGCATCTGGCCAGCCGGCAAATGTCGTGAGGGCTAATGTTCGTATCTAAGTAGCATTTGGCTAGTCGGCAACTGCCGTGAGGGCTGTACATATTTACGCATGTTAGATTAGGTCAGGTCACGTCAGGTCAGGCTAGGTTTGCTTTGGTTTGGGGCAGAAAGAAGCATCTCCGGGTAGCGCCTCTCCTTGGTTGCTAAAACGAAACTCGCGAGTGCCAGACATTCCGAAGTCCAAAAGGCAGTTACGTAGACGTCGGCCCATTCTGGATTTTTTATATGATGTAGCTAATGTATGGGAGGATGAAATATGTAAAAATCAGCAAAATCGAAGGGTACCCATTTTTCAGAAAATCAAAATTTATTTTTTGAATTTTAATTTAGTTCATTAATTAGCTAATTATGTCAATATTGTTATCCTCAAATTAAAGCCTGATCTATTCCCTCCATTTCACACTTTGTCTCATGGTGATATGTCTAAAACTTCAATGGTTATGACGCTTTAAAGATGATAATGTGCCTTGCCTAAGTCAATGTTTGATGACGTGTATCTCGGAAACGTGACGTCATATCTTGACAAAAACATGTCTCCTTTCTTTTCACATATAGATGAGTAGTTTCACAAAGTTTCGCAAAAATCGGAGGAGGTGAGGTTCAAAATGGTCATTTTTTGTCTCACTTGACGTGGAATGCCCCGTTTCCGCTCTCTACAGGGTGCGTCATAAGTTCTGGTACACTTTTTCTTTTATTAATAAAAAGAGTTACAACAGGTTTACAGAGTTGAGTATTTCAGTAGAGGATCTCTATGAAGTTAAGTCAAAACACTTGTAATATCATGAAAAAATATTTACTAGCTGAGCCTTAATGAAACAAATGGTAACTGACCGCCCGACAGCTAAGTGCACACCATGCCGCCTTTCTCCCCAACAAAGAAAGTTCGCGGGGCCATCGTCTGCATGAAGATGGCGGATATCTCGGTAGCAAAGATATGTCGCGCGCTTCGCTGCACGCGGAATCTTGTGTATCGGACGTGGACCCGGTACCAGGAGACCCAGAGTACCGGAGACCGATTCCGTTCCGGCCGCCCCCGGTCCGGAGGAGCTTGAGAGCGCTTTCCTTCCGTGTGTGGCGCTGTGCAGCGTTGAGGGAGTGAACGTGCTTCTTGCGGAGGCTTTTCACGCGGATATCCTTAGAAATGAGTCTGCGCATGGAACGCCCGGGCCATTTGGCGCATGGGACACTCGGGGTTGCGGACAATCCGGCTGCGAACCGCGGCTTTCAGCTGAGGCGTGTGGGCGGACCGGGGGCGGCCGGAACGGAATCGGTCTCCGGTACTCTGGGTCTCCTGGTACCGGGTCCACGTCCGATACACACGATTCCGCGTGCAGCGAAGCGCGCGACATATCTTTACTACCGAGATATCCGCCATCTTCATGCAGACGATGGCCCCGCGAACTTCCTTTGTTAGGGAGAAAGGCGGCATGGTGTGCACTTAGCTGTCGGGCGGTCAGTTACCATTTGTTTAATTAAGGCTCATCTAGTTAATATTTTTTCATGATATCACACGTGCTTTGAATTAACTTCATAAAGATCCT